CATGCCACTGCACTCCTGGGCAACAAAGAGACATCCTGTCTCTTAAAAACAAACAAAAACTAGTTTACAGATGAGAAAACTGAGGCACAGAGAGGTTGAATAACTTACCCTAAGTCACACAGCTCATCAATGGTGGAAACAGAGTTGGAACCCAGCAACCAGGCTCCAGAATTTGTCATCATTCTTGGAAGTGAAGCTGTCCTGCTCTGCAAGAAGGCTTCGCAGCAAGATTGCAGTGACAATGTTTCATGCCAGAGCATTTTTAGCTCCCCCAGGAGTACACACATTTTGGGGGTGGAGCTCCCCATATCAGACTCTCAACCACCAGTCGCTCTGGTATGAGGCCCTTGCAGAGTCCCTCCCACTCTGCCTGTCTCCTTCTTCTCTGATGGTGAGTTCTCAGGAAGCCCCTTTGCCTACCCCTATCTCACACACACACACACGCACACACGCACACATGCACGCACACACGCACACACGCACACGCACACACGCACACATGCACACGCACACACGCACACACGTGCACATGTGTGTAGGCTGGCTTCTAAAGTTCCCTCACCTCTGCCATCTGAGAGACCTGTCTATATAGGTCTGAACCCAATAGTGGACATGGTTTAAAACACTTCCTTGGAATGCTTCTCAGCTCCTATGCCGATCAGCAGATGCAAACGGATGCCTGCAGGGACAAAAACCCCAACTCCACATCCTGAGGCCTGGAAAGGCCAGTTCCTGCCCAGCTGACCCTGTAGCATTTTACAATAAAGCTTCTTATCACCACTACCATTTGTTTGATTACCTATAAATGTGTTAAGTCTTTAAAGATTGTATTGATCAGAACTATTGGTAGCAAGTGTCAGAAGCCCAACCAAAAGTAGTTTAGATAGAAGGGAATTTATTGAGTCAAGGACCAAACTGTAGAAATGACAGGGCTTAAGCCGGGCATGGTGGCTCATGCTTGTAATCCCAGAACTTTGGGAGGCTGAGATGGGTAGACCACTTGAGGTCAGGAGTTCGAGACCAGCCTGGCCAACATGGTGAAACCCCATCTCTACTAAAAACACAAAAATTAGTTGGACATGGTGGCAGGCACCTGTAATCCCAGCTACTCGGGAGACTGAGGCAGGAGAATCATTTGAACCTGGGAGGCAGGGGTTGCAGTGAGCCAAGATCATGCCTCTGCACTCCAGCCTGGGCAACAGAGCAAGACTCTGTCTCAAAAAAAAAAAAAAAAAAAAAAGAGAGGAAAGAAAGAAAGAGAGAAAGAAAGAAAGAAAGAAGGAAAGAAAAGAAAAAGAGAGAAAAGAAAAAAGGGAAAAAAAAAATGACAGGGTTAGATCATGGTCTCTGAGACAGTTGGAGTCAGGGCCTGAGGGAGCACTGGGACTTTGCCTCCCCTCATATCCCTGCTTGTCCCTGAATACAAGCTTCAGTTGCTCCTAGTGCTGGTCAGCTTCACTGGGGAAGGAGTATGGCCACCTGCAGCTTCCTCAGATGAAGAAGGACTTTCTTCCAGGCAGAGGTTGGAAGAAACCTCTACCCACAAGGGAAAAAGTTTCCCGTCCCTGGAGAGAGGGGAAATGAAGAGGGCAGGATGATCCCTCTTCAGAGAGTGCAAGTGGAGTCAGGGGATGAGAATTTCTTCCCTGGAAGCGAGGACAGAATTTTCCAACACAAAGATTTCAGAGTAGCCTATTCCATTCATTTGACAAACAGATAAGAGAGGACCTATGACATGCAGAGTGACGGGCTAGGCACCACGGTAGGGCTGGGGAGTGAGTGAGAAACAAGATGACATAGTTCTGCCCTAAGACCTTGCACTGTATTGCAAACACTTCAACAAGGTCATTTGAGTGACCAAAAGAGAGGAGGTACTACTGTGGGACATGGCAAGGATGCCTAACCTAGTCTAGTGGCATCAGGGAAGGCTTCCAGGAAGCAGTGATATCCAAATTGAGACCCAATGGATAAATAGGAGTCAACCAGGCTTGGGTTTGTTTGTTTTTGCTTGTTTTGCATGGGAGGGCAGGGAATGAAGTGGGCATTCCAGCCAGAGAGAACAGCTCTGAACTAAAAGATTAGTGTGTGACAGCTGCAAAGAAAGCCAAGATGAGGGGGAGGCAGGCTGGAGCGCTAGCATCGAGGACATGGCCGGCCAGCAAGAGCTTGAACTTGATCATGAGGGCAATGGAGAGCCATGGGAGGATCTGAGAGCAGTTACCCCATCTGATTTCCCAATTCTGAGATCCCTTGTACTCCCTGTAGAGGATGTATTGATGGGGAGAAGTGCACCTCTCACACCAGGAAGGAGAACCTTTTGAAGCAGCTAAGCTGGCAGGTCTCAATCTCTACAAGTTTAGACCCAAAAAGTCATTTGAGAAAAACAGAAATTAACAAGTGTTGGCAAGGATGTGTCGAAATCAGAATACTGGTGCATTGCTGGTGAGAATGGAAAATGGAAAAGCCTCTGTGGAAAACATTGTGGCAGTTCCTTGAAAAACAAAAAGAGAATTACTGTATGATCCAGCAATTCCACCTCTGGGTATATATTGAAAAGGTTTGAAAGCAGATACAAACATCTTAAGCAGATACGTGTACACCCATGTTCACAGCAGCATTATTCACAACAGCTAAAATGTGGAAGCAACCCAAATGTCCATGGATGGATGGATAAGGAAAAGGGGTATATAAAAGGAGTATAAGTCAAAAAGACAAATACTGGGCTGGGTGTGGAGGCTCACTCCTGCAATCTCAATACTCCGGGAGGCTGAGGCGGGAGAATCGCTTGAGCCCAGAAGGTCAAGGCGGCAGTGAGCTGTGATCCCACCTCTGCACTGCAGCCGTGGTGACAGAGTAAGACTATCTCAAAAATAAATAAGTAAACAGACAAATACTGTGTGATTCCACTTATACGAGGTCCCTAGTCAAAATAACAGAGACCAGCCTGGGCAACATAGTGAGATCTCCAACTCTACAAAAGATTTAAAAATTAACTAGGCATGGTGGTGTGCACGTGTAGTCCCAGCTACTCAGGAAGCTGAGGCGGGAGGATTGCTTGAGCCAAGGAAGGCAAGACTGCACCATGATCTCGCTGCTGCACTCCAGCCTGAGTGACAGAGTGAAAGACTCTGTCTGAAAAAAAAACACAAAATCATAGAGACAGAAAGAGGAATGGCGGTTTGCAGGAAGGATGGGGAAATGGAAGGTATTGTTTAACGGGTACAGAGTTTTGATTTTACAAGATTCGAAGAGTTATGGAGATGGATGTATTAATACACAAATATGAATGTATTTACTACCACAGAACTATAGCTTAAAGTGGCTAAGATGGTAAATTTTATGTTATGTGTATTTTGTCGCAATAAAAACATTTGAAAGGAGGTAATCGGAGAAACCTGGAAGAAATCCCCTGGCATAGAGTGGTTCCAGAGATTGGGGATGGAGAGGCCTCCTGCGAAGCCCAGAAGGGATGATGGGGGAGGGGTTACCTGAGGAAAGATGGACTCCTCTCTGACCTGACAAACTTGGGGAGAATTCCAGGAGTCCTTATATCAACCCCCAAGGACTTCAGCTGGAACCAAAGACACACCCTTCCCGCGGCTTCTCCATGGGTCTCAGACTCCCCATCTACAGAACCTGCCAAGATCGGTGCAGGAGGCTGAGGGTTGAGTGGAGGAGCTGCCCAACGGTAAGGATTCTGAACGTGTCCCGCTGTCCCACAGCATGGGAGAGCTGGTGACTGAATCTGTAGGGATGTCGGGGCCAGGTGCAGACTGAGTCTAGGTGGTTTCCCTGGAGAAAAAAAGGGGGGGCCGTGGAGAACAGGGGTAAGAGACTGAAGAACAATAAAGAGGTCACGGGGTACGCTCCCTTCCTGACATCCATCACATCCTGAGCCCAAGGTCACAGGAGAGGGTCGCATACCGCAGATGGAGCTGAGGGAACTGGGGGAGGGAGAGGCAGGCGGGCCCTGAAGGTGCAGGGTCGTGTGGGCCTCGGGACAAGTCAGGGTAGAAGGACCTGGCTCCCACGACCCTCCCTCCCCGCAGCTCCCCAGAGCCTCCAGCACCATCCCTGGGCCCCCTGTGCGCTCCAGCCCTCTTGTCTAAGCTCCCAGGAGGCGTTTTCTCTCCGCCCTCAGCCCCTGCTCCCGCGCTTCTGGCTGTCCCTGGCCCTGTCTCTCTGAGACTGTCCCTGGGCATATGTGTCTGTCTCACGATTCCTGCCTCTGTTTTGTCTCATCCCTCCCCTGCTCTCCACCGCAGTCCTGGTTGCCGTCCATGTCTCATCCTGACCCCTTCTGTCTCCATGCCTACCTCACTCTCTTTCTCGTCCCCCTCTGTCCCTGTCTCCTCCTGTCTCTCTCTTACCCTCATCTCCTGTCTCTGCCCTGTCCCCGCTCCATCCCGTCTTTCGCTGTGTATGTTCCGTTCTTGTCTCCCTCTGTTTACCTGTATCTCTTGTCCCTGTCTCCATCACTGTTTCTGCCCCTTTTTCTCCCGGTCTCTGTTTCCTCTGTCTACCCACGTCCCCTCCCTGTCCCCATCCCAGGCTCCGTCTCTTCCCGGTCTCCATCCCCCTTCCTGGGCCGCCTCCGCAGTCTCCGCCGGGATGGGACCTCGCTGGGGGCGGGGCTGAGGGGCCAGATCGGAATAACTCGGTTATCAGAACGAATTGAATTAACTTCTTCACACGAGCGCCGCCAGGCCTGCGTCCCCGCCCTTCCGCGGGGCCGCAGGTGGGGAGGCCCGGGAAAAGGGTCAGTACCCTCTGGCCTCGGACGCTGTGTAGAGACCGAAGGTCTGGTCCGGATTGGGGCAGGATAGGCACTCCTGGGATAGGGTCCCGCGCATCCCAGCTCCACACCTCTAGAGCCCTAAGAGGGCGGCTGGGACCCTTCGGGGTGGGGGTCGGGGCGGCTGGGGGCGGGGTCTGTGCGTCCCAGGCCCCGCCCCGCCGGAGCTAGCCCCGCCTCGCCCCCCTCCGCGGGGTCCTGCGCGTTAAAAGGCGCGCGGGCCGGGCCGGCTGCACTTGCGTAGCACCCGGGCTGAGTGCGGCCGCGACGGGGCGGGCGGGCTCTCGGGCGCTAAGAGCTGGCCTTGGGTCCTCGGAGCCTGGCGCTCGAACCTCCCTTCGGACCTCGACCCGGACCCAGACCCCGACCCGGCCTGGCCCGGCCCCCGCCCCCGCCCCCCAGGCCGATGGACTACTCCTACCTCAATTCGTACGACTCGTGCGTGGCGGCCATGGAGGCGTCCGCCTACGGCGACTTTGGCGCCTGCAGCCAGCCCGGCGGCTTCCAATACAGCCCCTTGCGGCCCGCCTTCCCCGCGGCAGGGCCGCCCTGCCCCGCGCTCGGCTCCTCCAACTGCGCGCTTGGCGCCCTACGCGACCACCAGCCCGCGCCCTACTCGGCAGGTGAGCGCAGCCCCGGCCCAACCCTCCCTCCAATTCCTGCAGAATCCCCGGGCCCGCTCGCCAAGTGAATGCGACTGTCTCCCTCAGCCCCCCCCATTCCTGCCTTGGCCAGACCCTCTAATGCCCCGAGAGACCCCCAGAACACGAGGTTCTCCTCCGCAGGAATGAGCCTCACCCTCTCATCTCTCCTGTTCCTTTTTCTCGTTGCCGAATCTCTGTCTCGTGCCCTTCAGGTCAAGGAAATAGATCCCCATCCAGCTCTGGCCCCCTTACCAGGCCTTCCCCTCACCACCTGCAGAGACTGACCACTAAACCTCTACAAGCCCTGGATCTTTGAAAAAGGCTCCCAGCTCAGCCCTATCACCACTTAGCACCCCACGCCGTCACCCCTGCCCCACAAGATGCATGACCCCCAGCAAGGACCTCTGCAGGCAGCTGAGCTGCCCAGACGGGAAGCTTCCTAGAGCCCCCGTGGCCATCAGGCCCTTCCTGCCCTGTCTTGGACCCATGCTGCCTGGGCCCGAACCCTTCTGTAGCCACCAAAACCAGATCCCGTAGCCCGCAATAAAGGGGCCCGGGTTTTTAAGCCACTTGTATTTCCCCATTCCCCCACAGACTCTCCCAGCTAGAGTCCTGTAGAACATGGAAGCAGCTCCTGCATCCCCAAGCCTTTTGATCCAAGTCCCTGTCCAAACCCTCAACCTCACTAAGCTTCTCAGTCATCTCATCCCTCTGATTACAGTCCCAGCCTGCCTCATGGAATTTTATCTCCTTCCCTCCTGGGAAGACCACTGGGGCCCCAAGTAGAAGACTGGGGCCTAAGGGCCAGGCACAGTGGCTCATGCCTGTAATCCCAGCATTTTGGGAGGCCAAGGCGGGTGGATCACTTGAGATCAGGAGTTCAAGACCAGCCTAACCAACATGGTGAAACCCCATCTCCAGTAAAAATACAAAAAAAAAAAAAAAAAAAAAAAAAATTAGCCAAGCATGGTGACCCACGCCTGTAATCCCAGTTACTTGGGAGGCTGCGGCAGGAGAATCGCTTGAACCTGGGAGGCAGAGGTTGCAGTGAGCTGAGACCATGCCATTGCACTCCAGCCTGGGAGACAGAACTAGACTCCATCTCAAAAAAAAAAAAAAAAAAAAGACTGGGCCCCTTAGACTGGGAGCTGGGGGAGAGATACGAGAAATGAGAACCTGGATTTGGAGAAATGAGAACCAGGGTGGGGAGATTGGGTACCCTGAGCCAGATGAGGGTAGGGATTGGGAAGAGGGGAGACAGGCTCCAGAGATACAGGGTTTTGAGACCAGAGAGATGGGGATAAGGTACAGAGAGAGGGGAGCAGAGGTGGAAGCACTGGAAATCCTAGGAGAAACGGGGACTCAGGGTTGGGGAGATAGAGATAACACTCAGGCGATGAGGACCAAGGAAGATTAGAAATAGAGATGAGGAAGATGAGAATACAAATGGGGTGCTGGAGACAAGAATCAGGGGAGATGGAGGCCTGGAGAGATGGGGCAAAGATGGAGATTGGAGACCTCTGGTGAATATGAAGACTTAAACCAGGGTTAGAGACAGGGAAGGGAGGTGCTGTCAGAAACACTACCTATGGGGCAGTGGAGACTGGGATGGGTATAGGAAGAGAGTTAGGGGGCAATGTTGGCTTTGGAAGAGATGGGACATGGAGAAGGTGCCTGGGGAAGAAGAAGAAGGGCAAAGAGAAGATGGAGGAAGTCTTCTCAATGGGCACAAAGAGAAGAATGGCCGAGAAGTGGAAAGTTGAAGAGAGATTCAAATGGAGGAAGATGAGGAAGAGGAGAGGGGGACATCTAGGGGAGAATGAGGGTCAGGGGAGTGGGGCAGGATTGAAGAAATGAGGCTTGGGAAGGGGGGAGGTTGATGGGTGGAGGGAGCCAAATCTGTATACAGCTGAAAGCCGGTGGGATGGCTGGTGGTAGGGCTGAAAGGAGAGCCGGTGGGAGGTTCTGTGTTGCAGAGCCTTGGCCCAGAACTGGTTAGTGGGAAGCCTGGCAATGCTGATGAGACTTGACAGACATCCAGGGCCAGGGTAAACAGAGGGAGCAGACGGGCTGAGAGACAGGAGGGGAGGGCCGGAGGCAGGGGTTGAATGGGGGTGCAAGGGGAGGTGGAGGGAACAGGGCTTGGGAGGAGGGCGTTGACGGGGGTGGGGTGGGGAAGGGGGTGTCTTGGCTGGAGTATTGGATTATGCTTTCCCCTTGGCCGCTCTTGGGGCTCGGGTCTCCCTGATCTCTATCTGCCTTTATCCCGCGGGCTCCACTGAGTGATAGGGTGGACGCTCCGCCCCAGGCTGTTGGGACCAAGACGAGGGACCAGGCCAGGGACGGGGGAAGCGTGTGATTCCCTCGGAGCTGGAAACAACGGGTTGAACTCTGCTTCTCACTCCCCTATCCTTGTTGCTCCCCCACCCGCCCTGCACACACCCGCAGTGCCCTACAAGTTCTTCCCAGAGCCGTCCGGCCTGCACGAGAAGCGCAAGCAGCGGCGCATCCGCACCACGTTCACCAGCGCACAGCTCAAGGAGCTGGAGCGCGTCTTCGCTGAGACCCACTACCCCGACATTTACACGCGTGAGGAGCTGGCTCTCAAGATCGACCTCACTGAGGCTCGCGTGCAGGTGCGTATATGCACGTGTGTGTACGAGAGTGTGTGCCCATGGAAGGAGGAGACCCGATCTCCCAAGGTAGCTTCAGGCTGCCTCCTCCGCTCTGTCTCCCTCCTGGGGCAGAACGTTCCCAGAGATGCTTGAGAAGCCAGGAGGGAGGCCGAGGGGGTAGAGGGAGAGACCCAGGCGACCTCAGGGCCGAGCTGAGGAGTGGAGGGAGGCCAGTCAGCACCCCTGGGGTTCCCTATCCCGGCACTGCAGCTTTGAAAACCCGGAGCCCGGGAGGCTGAGTTTGTGGCAGGCACAGGGCTGAAGAGAGCCGGGCTAGAGCAGACTGTTGTCTATTTGTACAACTCCGTGTACAGATGTTCATTTGGCCCACCTTGACTGGACGCCCTAGACAAAAGGTTTTCCTGGTGCCCTAAACTGCTCTCCACGGCCCTGGAACGCTCCAGGAGGGAAGTCCCAGAGCTTCCTAAAAGAAGGAATTGGGGGAAGAACTTAGGGTGAGGAGAACGGAGGCAGGGTCCCCTCCAGGAGACCAAGAGTGCTGGGAGGCAGCGGAGTCAGCGGGTGAGTGGATCCCAAGGGCAAGAACCCAGGGATCTGGAGGCAGGGGCCAGTGGAGCGCGCAGAGGGCAGCGGGCTGAGTGCAGGAGGGCCAAAGGCCCCTCCAACTAGTAAGAACCCGGGCCTGGTTCTCTCCGAACCAGGATCTCACTCGAGCCTTGCGGCCGCGGGCTGACCCCGTGCGTTCTCCGACCTTCGTCCAGGCTGACTGGCCCCTGTGCCCGCAGGTCTGGTTCCAGAACCGCCGGGCCAAGTTCCGCAAACAGGAGCGCGCAGCCAGCGCCAAGGGGGCGGCGGGCGCGTCGGGCGCCAAAAAGGGCGAGGCGCGCTGCTCCTCCGAGGACGACGACTCCAAGGAGTCCACATGCAGCCCCACGCCGGATAGCACTGCATCGCTGCCGCCGCCGCCTGCGCCCGGCCTGGCCAGCCCGCGCCTGAGCCCCAGCCCACTGCCCGTCGCACTGGGCTCTGGGCCGGGACCCGGGCCAGGGCCACAGCCGCTCAAGGGCGCACTGTGGGCAGGTGTGGCGGGCGGTGGGGGCGGCGGTCCCGGCGCAGGCGCGGCCGAACTGCTTAAGGCTTGGCAGCCGGCCGAGTCCGGCCCCGGGCCCTTCTCCGGGGTTCTGTCCTCCTTTCACCGGAAGCCCGGCCCCGCCCTGAAGACCAATCTGTTCTAGCTGCCAGCCTCTGGAGGCTCCGAGCCTGCCCCCAGAGACGTCCCTGCCCCTCCAGGACCTGACAGTCCCTCCCATCCTGGCCACCCAACTGGAAGTCCCCATCCGTCTCCACTCCCTACTGTCTCACCCCTGGGTGTGTCCTCCCTAACTTTGGAGACCAAGTCAGGGCCACTCTCGTCCTCACCCCCACTCTCTACCAGCAGAGCGGAATTCTTTTCACAGGGACCCCCTCCAGGAGAACCCCGGAGCCCCTTCTAGCTTGGCCTTCTTTGGATGCGGTACCACATGAGGCCTGTCCCTAACATAGTGCCCTCAAAGTGAAGGTCCTCAAGGAGGAGCGGCACAGCCCCCTTCCCTGGCTCTGCAGTGGCTGGGTCACTTATGCTGGTGACCAGGAAAGTCTGCTGCCCCACCCCTTGGGCCCACCCGCCTTAACCCCACCCATACAGAGGCTGGTGGTTGCGGGATAATCAGTGGCCACTGCCAATGTGTCCCTCACGTGTCTCCTCTCTTCCCTAGCCCGTCTGGCACAGAGGGTGGACCTGTTGGAGGAGTGGAGGGGCTGCCCAGGGAATGGGACAGAGGTATTCCCTTTCCCTAAATTTTTTGGTTGTCCTTTTTCTTTGAAAAACTTGTAATTTATTGAAGTTTTACTCAATCCAAATAAAACTTAATTTATTGAAGACATCACGCCGCAACCCTTCCCACTGCCCAGGAGACTGCCTGCAAGACCTTGTCCGGGGCTGAGACCTGCGAGGAACCTCCCTCCCCAAGCCCGCCGCCAGGCATCCGCAGCGCAGGGCAGCACGGACAAGGAGACAGAACTAAGCAAACTGGCACTTTATGGCTGAGATCCTGCCCCACCCCAACCAACCCCAATAATATTAAGGTGCCCTCCCTCCCCAACCCACAGAGAACAGTTTAAATAAACCCCAGCCCGGTCCTCGGGCTCTTCCTTCATTTCCGGACGGACACCCGCCCCCACCCCCAGCGGGGGTGGGGAGGTCTTAGCGAAGCGCCTCCCCTGTGGTTCAGGCCCGGTGGAAGGCTGCAGAAACACTGGTGAAAGTGGGGGCCCAGACGTACCCAAATGGGCCCCCACAGGTACCCCTGGGGCTGGGAGGCGGAGTCCAGTAAAAGGACAGCACCAGAGTAACCAGGGTCCTCGGTAACCATGGCAACTGACCTTCCGACCTGAGCCTAAAAGGACCTGAGCCTAAAAGGCGAAGGGCAGGATGCCCTAATTAGGGCATTGCAAATGATTGGGCAGCGGGGAATGCTGATCCCCAATAAATAGGCAGAGACATACTCCCCTGACCCTCATAACTTTTCAACCCTGGGGCCATAGCTGGGCCTTGGTAGCAGGGAGGGGCGCTGAGTTCACAGCTTCGTGGTGCCTCCTCTATCACTTGCTGAGCTGCAGGGTGTCCAGAAGGAGGCGCTTGTGAGCCGGGTCCTGCACCCCAGCCTCCTCCAAGTCCTCCTCGGTGATGTCACTGTGGAGTAAAACAGGCTGGGAAGTGAGATGGGCTAGGGGGTCCTGAGGGCCCCAGCTCCGCCCCCGGGGCCAGCCCCTCCCCCACCTGAGAAACTCCAGGTCGTCCCAGCCATTATGCACCAGGCCCTCCTCATAGCGCTCCAAGCCGATAGCCCGCAGCCAGGCGCCCATGCCTGCCTCGCCCAGCCCGCTGGCCCGCCCGCCCTGCGGGCACGGAGCCTAAGAAAACAGGGCATGTCAGGGGGAGCTCAGTGTCCCCCATAGAAACACCTGCAGACAGTCACATTCTGCTGCATGCTCTGGGGAAAAGGAAGGGAAAGGCTGGGCTGATTCATGTGTCTCCCAACTTCCCAGTGCTCGGTTCAGGGTAGCGGGGACACCATGAGAGCTGAATGGTGGAGTGAAAGGGTACCAGTCTGTGGGCAAGCACACTCCTCAGGCACAAAGACAGCCACCCTGCTCCACACACCTCCTCTGCCAGGTCTTCCTGGATGCTCTCCCGGATGCGGGGTGGAGGGAAGCTGAGGGGCCGGCCATAGTCCGAGGACAGTCCCCGGTGTGGCTGCAGCTCCAGGGGGCCTGGGAGGAGTGCTGAGCGTGCGGGCCCAGCAGGGGCGTAGTCCACCTCGCTCAGCGTCTTGGCCATCTGCAGCACTGAGCAGGACCGGTCATCCCCACCGGCCACTTCCCCCAGGAAAGTGCTGGCTGGCGAGGGGCCTGGGGGCAGTGGGGGCCTTGGATGGGCCTTGGGAGGCGGCGGGCCACGGGCCTCACCCCCCCCACGGCCCCGGACCACTGGCCCTGGTAAAGGATCCAGGCTAGGTGACAGGAAGATGGCTGAGTCCGGCAGTGGTGGAGGTGGAAAGTCTGGAGGGGGCAGCGTGCCTCCAGACTCTTCATCTGAAGAACTCCCCTCTCCCACACGAGGTGGCCGGTGGCGCCCAAGCTGTGGAGCAGGCACTGTAATGGCCACTTTGTTCTTCGTGGCAGGTGGGACAGGGGCCCTGGCAGGCGAGGGTGGCTCCGGGGGCAGCAGCTGGTGTGGGACCCCTTCAAGGACGTAGTAGGCAGGGTTATTGAAGCTGTTCTTGGGTGGGGGGGCGGCCACCCCTTCTGGTTCGGGAGCTCCCTCTGGCTTCAACCTGGGTGTAGAAGCAGAATGACTCCAGGATCCAGGAACCCAGGTCTAAGGCAGTGGGAGCAGTGGAGGGAGAACTAGACAGGAGTCAGAAAGGCCCCTGGTCCTAGACTTTCTCATGACCTTGAGCACATCAGCTGCCCTTAGTTTCTTCATCTATAAAGGTCAGCAGGAGGATAACCCTTTGAATGGATAACCCTTGCCTCAGTTGCTAAGATTCTTAGATCTTTCATATCTTTATCTGTAGCTGTGAAACCTAAGCTAAATGGGTCAGAATAGAGGTGCCAGAAGACAGGTCAAGTAAAGCCTCCAATGAGAGGCCAGGTTTGGAAAGCCTCTCGAGGCACCCACAGTCAATCCACTGCAGAATCTTTCTCAGAGATTCAAGTGGGTCTTATTCAAACCTGGGGCTAAAACCCGGGTGACTGACAACAGCTGAAAATGAGTAAAAAAGCACCAACCTGTACCTAGGAATTTATGTAAGTTTAAGCAACCATTGGATATAATTAGAAAGCAAGCCTCACTTTCCCAAAGTGTGACACAGAGCACTAATTCCCCAGGACGTTAATAGTTACTATGTGGAAAATAAGTTTCCTGGCCCATTAAGTTTGAGAAACCATATTAAACAGAGCTGAAAAGAGGTTTCCTTCCTATCCACATGCTCAGAGCTTTTGGTAATACTAATGTGCACTGGGAATGTCTAAGAAAAGAATCTAGAAAAAAGCATTTCCCAAACTCATTTGACCACAAACCCATTTCAAGTGGGGCCTCTTGCAGGACAGAGTTCCAAAGAAGGTACCCTGGGAAATCCCAGGCCAAGCCGTGTGCCTCCTCTAAGCAGAAGGCTCAAGCTAGGTCTGTTTACATGGAGGGAGCTGTCTTAAAAACAATTTCAAATTCCATTTTTAAAGGCGGAATTGAGAGGAAAGGCTGACTGCTCCCTTTGACTCAGAGCCACACCTAAGGGTGGCCTGGCTGGCCAGAGTGGCCACAGGCATAAGGCTGTGGCACCTTCAACCACAGGGTAGCAGGGCACCTAAGCAGCTGACGATCCCCAGTCCAGCCCTGAGACCCTGCAGGGGATAGTGATGGATAGAGGTGGGCAGGGGAAGCAAGGGCAGTGACAGGTTCCTCCTCTCACCTGGGGGTCAAGGGCTCCTCCCGGGGAGCTGCTCGGGGTGGGGCTGGGGGCCTCCCAGTTGGTGGAGGTTTCTCTGGTTCTTCGAATAACCTGGAGAGCGGGCAGGAGGCCTCTGTGAAGGCTGGCTTGCGGCTCCCTGACCTGCCAGGGATGCACAGGAGAGAGGAGATGAAGTGGGGTTGACCAGATGCCCCCAGGTGCCCTTTCATATGACATTCAACACAGCCCTAGCTCACCTGGGCTCCTGGATCCCTCGGGACACAGAGGGGGCTTTGCTCTTTGCTCCTGCCTCATCCTTATCAATGCTGATCCATTCTGAGGGGGCAGGAAGGGAGACTCAGAGGAGACCTAGGGTCCTGGATCCCACAGACACCCACGGGGCCTTCCAGCCCTTTCCCAGCTATGCCTTGGGGCAGACAATTCCCAGCTGTGGCTGCAGAACCTCCAGGTATCCCAGAGATTCCAACATGCCCCCGACACCCCCAGTCCTGCCCTCCTAGATCTGTTCACACCACCCTATCTCATGTCCCATTGAAGTCCCCACCGTAGAGCCGCTCACGGGTGCCCAGGCGCTCTGTGGGCACCCGCACCTTCATGGAGCCTCTGATATTGCCTGTCTCCTCGCCACGGTGGGACAGGAAGGTCAGGAACTGTTGGGCTGTGCTGCCAATCATGGACTTGAGTGCAACCACACATTCCCCTGAGGGGCAGATGGGACAAACCAGCAAATTACCAAGCCAATCTAGGCCCTGCCTGGCTTCCTGTTCCCCTCAGCACCCCTCACTCCTCACCATAGGATTCATAGCCATCCATGGACTTGACTGTGAGCAGGAGGTGCTGGTCCTGCAGGTACTCGATATCAGCCAGAATTGGTTTGAGCTGGGAAGCAGGGAGGCCCAGTGAGGAACAAAGCCCTGCCACTTCCTCCTGCCCCTCCCACATGCTGCCCCTGACACTACTCATTCTCCACCCTCAGGTCATCTGTGCTCACTCACACTCAACTCTTCAGAGAAGAGCCAAATCCTTAATGCAGAAGACACAGCCCTATACAGGCCTTTTACAGCACTTAGCATCACTGTAACTAATTAATTTTCTCAGTAGCTAACACAGGACCTGATATTTAGCAAAAGCTCAAGAAGCATCTCCTGAATGAATGAACAAACTGCAACAAGGTTCCACACTCCCAGAATAAAGCAAAGGCCTTTATCCTCACTCACGCCCATACACACACACACACACACACACACACGCTCTGCTGGCCCCACACTCCCTCCCAGGCAGGCTCCTCAATAAACTCTTCTGCACCCCTCTCTGTGCCCTCACCCATAAGCAGGGGCCCTGCCCACAGCCTCACCGTGGGCAGCTGGCGTGAAGACCACTGCACTTTGAGGAAGTTGATGTTGTCACTGCTTTGGGCATCATTCTCAAAGCTCTTCTTGTATTCTGGGTGAGGGTGGGAGACACCCAACTGAGTACCACCTCTCAGCTTCCCTTCCCACTAAGTAGGGGGCTGACTGCACCCTCTGGCCTCCCATTCTCCTTGGCCCACACCCAGCCCCTGACCCGCCTCTGACCCTCCAGGCAGGTAGAGTAGAACTCGATGAAGAACTTGGTGCGGCTGGCTGTCTTCACAATGGCCTCGATGCTCTCAAACTCAATGTAGGCCTGGTCTGAAGTCTTCGAGAGCCCTGAGGGGAAAGGGAAAAGAGCAAACAGGAGGGCTGAGAGGATCATAGGAGGAATGGGACAGAGAAGCAGGGCCCTGGGACATGAAATCAGGGGACCAGAGCAAGGAGGCAGGGCCACCAACAGGGAAACTCCAGAGCCCAGAACCTGGACCAGAGCAAAGAGACAACCCAAGAATAAAATGCCCATTGAAGAGGATGCTGGGGACCAGAATGCCTGCGGGATTGCCACATGTCCAGGCATACTCAGGGACATACACGTGGGCCCAGACAGACACAGGCACATAGATACGTGTACACTCACGTATGTACACACACAAGCATGGGCACATAATTCTTGTGATGGCCCCAGCGCACAGACACCCTGACACATCACACCTTGAGAAGCACTCCTGCACTCACTGGTACACACACCCA